GTTTTTTTTTCTTTTAAGTGAGTAGATTTTTAGCCTACTACACAAACCCCAAAACCTGGGGGATCAGGTGTTGAATTCAGAGCCACCAAAGGCTATAGAACCCAGTCTGCCCTTCTATTTACCTATAGCTGGGGGAACAAGTGGAGCTATACCTTTCCCAAGGGTATTAGCACGTAAGTGAATGTAATGGATTCTCAGATTCCTCAATCCGAGCAGCTATCAATTACTCCGCCGTTTCTCCTACATGTAGTGATCTTCAAAGCGTAGCTCAGATGTGGCACAAGACCGAAAGTATGGCGCATCCACTCACTACCCAGTCGTAATTATTCTAGCGAGACAAACTTGCTAACCATTACACCACCTCGAGGTACCCCGTATCTCCTACATATAAGAAGGCCAAAAAATCCAAAGGAAAATAGTGCTTAACCTATATAACAACTTTGTGTAAATGAATAGAACAGGCCATTGTACATATAGCAAAACGACAAAATTTACCAAGGGCTCCAAATTGTGGGGAGCCATGATCACCAGCGTCCTGAAGGAACATTGCACATATAGAAGAAGATAAGAGATCGTAGGTCTTGATGTCGTAATCGGAATGTGTCCCTAATCTGTGAAAAGCGATCAGAATTATCAGCTGCGAATGGCTTAATTAATTAAAGTTTATACAGAAGCGGACCAGAAAAATATTTGCCCAAGGTTATTACAAGTGATGGGTAAACATGGAATTCTGACAGGTGGGCGGTCATATGTCTCCGAAGCGCTTGTATTGATTCGTTGAATAAAGAAGGGTTGCAGCGTCTCCAGTCCAACGTTTCATGATTTATATGGATGCGTTCTGGGAAGAGACAGATTTCACGTATTTGCTTGGAATCAGCAGTTCATGGGAGGTAGATATACAGGCAAGTTTAAACCGGAAGGAACTGTCTATCGTGATTGAATCGCAAGGACACATCACTGGGTAAAGATAAGCGAAAAACACAAACCAACAAAGCAAATAGAAATTTGGAGAAAAAACAAAAAAAAAAACCGAATGGATACGATAGGGTGCTAAAAAAATTATTAACCCAAATAACTTCATAAAAACTAACCAAATAATCAAAATATTTTCTGGGGACGAATAAACATATTCGGTGTGTCACTAAGTCTTACCTTAACTTCTGACAATCACTTATTTTTCACTTTTTTATTGAATTTCAACAATAATATCTTTAGTAATGTGAGAGTTGGACGGGTCCTACTAACATCAGTTATCTTTATTTGGTTTATTTTCATATTGAGTTTCTTTTGGGGTTCATCCCCTCCCTTACTGTAAATCATCAGATTTTTATGTATAATTTTTTTATAATTATCAAATTTTTATGCCACGGAGTTCGTTTTTAGATTCCCTAGGAGTATGCGGCATTATGGTATATGTAGGATCGATTGGTGACGGATGACTTCGTGTGGTCAATGTGCGAATTGTAATGAGTGAATGGGTCGTGAATCGGATTAGCTAGGTATAAAATAGTGAAAAGCAGCCTCAGCTCAGTCCAAATTTTCGGCCTTGTGCCATAATTGTATTTTATGGAATAAATCTCAATATCCTTAGCAATGCATTTCCATTATACATATAATAGCCCTATTCTATCAGTAATGCTTGCATTCATTCCTGACCACTGACAATCCCTTTCTTCCTGATTTTCAATGCATTCTTATAGTAAAATCATTAGCAATGCATTTACATTATACATATAATAGCCCTATTCTATCAGTAATGTTTGCATTCATTCCTGACCACTGACAATACCTTTCTTCCTGATTTTCAATGCATACCTATAATAAAATCATTAGCAAAGCATTTACATTATAAATATAATAGCCCTATTCTATCAGTAATGCTTGCATTTATTCCTGACCACTGACAATCCCTTTCTTCCTAATTTTCAATGCATTCCTATAGTAAAATCATTAGCAATGCATTTCCATTATCCATAATAACCCTTATTCTATCAGTAATGCACGCATTCATTCCTGACCACTGACAATCCCTTTCTTCTCGGTTTGCATTGCATTAAGATGAATTTTAAAGGAGCATTATTTCCAGTACCTCCCTACAAAAAGTACAGCATTTTTAAAACATATCCCAAATTGAATAATTTTATTTCATTTTTTTTTTTTTTCATAAATATTATTTGAAGCAAAGCGCTACTGGAGCCAATTTGTTGTTTGGTCCCATTACGTACACAGGCAAAAACTGTCTAAGCTATCCTTTAGGCTTCAGTATTAAGAGCGTACCCCTATCCAGGCAAATTGAGAGGTGCTGCCTTGGGGGAAGATCTACAGGAACCAGTGATGCTTCAAATGATATATTGCTGACATATCTATGTTAGATCTGCCCACTTGTCACCTGTCTGACTTGATAATCTTCAAAGGCGTCTACGCGGCCTTGTGGGTGATGAATTATTTTCCACCCTACAACCCCTTTCCAATAACTATTGCTATATCTATGGCAAGTGTTTTGTCGAGTTATATTCCTTAGTCTCACCACCCCTGACCTTTACGACTTGGACCGGCCATGCCCCATACATCCCCATCGGTAAAATAAGCAAACATGCTTTTAAGCTTATTTTACTGGTTTCGGTAAAACAGACACCCAATTTGAAGTCTTTTCCATTATCAATTGTTAAAACACAAAATCATTCATTCATTATCGATTATTAAAATAAATATAGAAGTCTTTGAATATTTTAAGAACTTCAGGCAAATCCAAAACTTTCTCTTGCCAATACACTTCAGGTGTACCCCTCCCCTGGGTATGACGATAAACTACGTCCGTGTCCTGGGTAAGACGATAAACTACGTCCATCAGCAAGATCAGGAGGTTTTGAGGAGCGTGGAACCACCTCTTAATTACTGGTGTTCCCAGGTCCACCCTTACCCGGTGTGGTAGCACCTGTTAGGGTCCCAGCTATGGGCAAATAGTTAACTATTACCAGCAATACATTTTTGAAGGAAAATTATTGCCAGAAACAGATTTTTGACAAAACAAAATATTGGCAGCAATAAAAAATTTTGTCGGCATTAAATAATCCATTATGGTTGATATACCGTAAACCAAACCAAACCATTGAAGACAACAGTAAAAGACCACAGAATCAATGTTGTTCAATTCTGCTTACACAGTTCACAATACCACTGCGCTGACGATCTCAGATATAATATATTCATAGTTCGAAAACACAATTTATATTTACAGGAAAAATAGCCAAGGGACCGGCAAAATAACTTGTTGATAAAAACTTAAGTTTAATAAAACACATTCTACAATAATTATTTTCTTTTTTTTTTTTTTTTTAAAAAAATTTACTCTTATTTGTTTTGTTTGGGGGGGGGCGATTTTAAATTTTTTTCCAGTTCTTTCAGAAATAGAGATTTCTTAAATAAAAAAAAAAGTTGTTTTTGAAGCATTTTACAGATTATTTTGCAATAAAGATTAAAGAGGAAAAAAGATGAAGGAAATAAATTAACATTATCAATTCAATAATATTTTTCTCTATTAAATTCCCCCCCACCACCACCATCACTTTTTTCTTTTTTTTAGAATAGCACGTTCTTTTGGTTACTAAATTTTCTTAAAATAATTTAAAAGAACCGATTTGGTGATATTAAATGTTTTATAATATCAAAAACATGAAAAAAAAATACGTACAATTATCACTTCATTATCTTTAATCACTAAACATATTTTTTAGTGATTTATTAGCGTAGAAGTGGCACAAGGCCGAAAGTATAGAGCCTCTAGCGAAGATCGGACCAACTACTGAGTCGTAATGAGCGATTTCTGTCCTCACTTGGTACTCCATATTTTCGGCCTTGTGTCACATCTATGGCAATTTTCTAAGCATAGAAAAGACTGGAAGTATGGGGTACTCACTGAGGATCGAACTCACTACTCAGTCATAATTGTTCTAGCGAGACAAGCTCGCTAAACATTACACAACATAGAGGGGGGACCCTTGTGCCATATCTATGCTGCGTTTAGAAAATCATTAAAAAAAAATTTTCATATTCCTATTAATGTAAAAATATTGATTCTACTAAGTTTCGTAAAAGTCTATAGAATAAAAATATATATTCTTAACCTATTGGTTAAATAATGTTAAAAATAATTATTTTTTAATATAAACGAAACTAGTTTCTCTATTTTCGTATTTTTGTCATCCATATTTAATTCAGTTCGAGGCTGTTTTTCCCTCCCAAATTGAAAGTGCGAGAATGGACTATTACTACTTTATTTATGAATTTGATGAGAGGCGGGATATATCTGGCTATATTCCAATGGACTATTCGATATATCTCAAGCATAAAGTAAGTAATATTTTTCCAAAATTCTGTTAATTAACATTTAAAGTTACTAATCAGATACTTGACTTCAAAGTGATTTCTAAAGCGTTTTAGATTTTCTGTCTTTTTTTTTTCAATCAAAATGGCGGGTCGATGATAAATTGACGGTGACAATGCTTTTTAAAATGTCTTGAAGACATATTGAAATACGTAAAATTCTCCTTTTTTCATATAGATTTGCATTAGGCAATTTTCTTTCAAATAAAACTAAAATTCTACTAAGAAAAAAAATATTTAAATTATTTTCTTTGCGTTTTGCAAAGGATATATTTAAATTATTTATTTTTCATGCTTTTTAAAGTGTTGTTTTTTTTTTTTTTTTTTTACACAAATGTTGGCAGTACCTGTATTGAAAAAAATAGAAAAACTTGCTTTATTCTTTGAAGTTACTCGGCGTAGCCTATCTTTTTCTCCTGACATGACTTGGAAAGACTGTGTTCTTGTCTCGTAAAAAATGAAATTAAAGAATCGGTGAAGTACCACAGCAAGGGGTTACCCCTCACCCGCCTCCAGGCTAGTGCACAATCATTCTTGCTAAATAGCAGGATAGACTGGGCTGTAACTGGAGGGAGAAAAGACGAGTCAATAACTTTCGAAGGGTCAGTGTGAGCAGAATGCATTGGGCTCTCTCTAGCTGCAGGTATGGAAGAAGGTTCACGCCTTTCCGAATGGTAACTGTCAGCACGATAGAATGGGCTCTCTAGCTGGAGGGAGAAAAGACTGGTTCATGCCTTTTCGAAGGGTAACTGTGAGCAGGATAGATTGAGCTCTCTTGTTGGTGGGAGAAGAAATAGGTTCATGCCTTTTCGAAAGGTAATTGTGAGAAATGAGAAGCAGAATAGGTCGAAATTAGAAAACACTTCGCTGATTCCACTTTCAGCGCCGATGACGGTTACATTACCCGGAATTTAATATTCGCTATACCGTAAATCGACCGCCGTATATCAAGTTCGATTGTTACCGAATCGTCCTCCCAAAACTGATATTTTCAAGGAGTTACGCCTTGACAAATCGGACGTGGTGAGATTCGAACGCGGGTTTTATTGTCGAAACGCTCTAGTTTTAACGACTAGACCATGCTCAACCATAGGTTAAAAAAAAAAAATGTATATATAGAATTAAAAAAAAAAAATAGCTACTTGATCAGAGAAAGGGTATCAGATACGGATTAGTTGTGAAAAAACAGTGCCGTATCACTGTTTACAATCCAAGGAGTATTAGTGTGTTATTCGTGACAGGATTACTACGAACGGTTAAGGGAGAGGAGGAGGGACAAGAAGCAAGCAAGCACGAAAACGTTAAGGGTAAAATGGATAAATGTAATCCGCGGCTATGGATGGGCGATGAATTTTAAAAACTAGCAACTGACCTTCTTGAGCGCGCCATTTTCAATCTGGTCATCTTGACTCTACTAATTAGCGAGAAATTCTCCCGAGATTAATCGAAAGGCAGCTGTGTGGATTAGCTTGAGACATTTAAGCGGATTGGTTGTTTCAGCTGCTTCCCCAATAAGAAACAAAAAAAAAACAATTGTGACATAATTAAAATAAAATAACAAAAACAACAAAGGAACGAAAAGAGTTCAACTCTGGGCTGTCTTTTTTAAATATCAAGAAAATTGTTTAAGGAGACTCCATTTTGATTTTGTTCGTTGATTGATTAAACAAGTTCATTGGTAAAGCGTAGGTAAATAGTTATTTATTCGTACATTTGTACAAAATGTGGCACAAGGCCTAAAAGGGGGTTGGGGAAGGACGGTCTTCTTCTGTCTTAATTCTAAACTTAGCTAGTCACAGACACGGACCCAAACATACCAACAATATAGTCCTATCACCAAAACAACACATTCACTCCTACTATGTCCACCATAATACCTCAAATTCTCTATGAAATCTTAACTAGTCCCAATATATACATTTCAAAGTCTGTGGGGGGAGGGGAAAAACAACAATTTAAAAACCTCAATGATTATTTACAATATGATTTAATACTATTTACCTAAAACAAAATAGGGTTCGTTAGTAATAAAAAAACCCACAATGCCTAAATGTGGCAGGAACATCAGTTAACTGGACGAAATAATTGCGGGATTATAACATTATAAAAAACAAACATGCCCAGAAAACCGCCCACAAACACGCACTCGTTTAGACACAATAACAAATACGAAAACACACATACGAAAGTCATCCCGCAACAACCAGAGAACTGACATTACTGCCCACCTAACGAGGGAGGGGATGGAGAATTAAACAAAAGAAAAATAGGGACAGAAATAAAAGGGGCTAATGAGCATGCATACTCTAGCTAAGTTAGGGTACCTCCACAAGATCGCTGAAAAAAAAAAAGCATAGCATGATGAAAAGACGCCAAAACTTGACCAATAAAAAAACAAAATTTTATCGTCTAAATGTTTGTTATTACAAAATTTAAGGAAAGGTCAAAAATATTTTTGGGTATTTTTTCCATTTTTTTAATCGTTCCTAAAGCACGTCCGAAAATTTTCGTTAAAAATCTAGTTTTTTTGAGTCAAAAATTGACCATTTTTTCCATTTTAAAAAAAACTGGAAATGTGACTTTTGAAATTTTTTAAAATATCAATTATCATTTTTTTCAAAACTTATTTTTAAGAAAATCAGAAATTGTTTATTTAAAATATTTTGAACCAAACTTAACTTTGCTTTTAGTTGTTTTATGAATATGGACAATATTTTCTGAAAGCAAAAAATTTTTCGATGAAAAATGAATTTTTTTAATACAATTATTTGTTATTTCATTAATTATAATACATTTTACATTTAAGTTGTTAAAATATTATAAAATTAGTTAAAAAGTCGCATCGGCTTTTCATAAGTCCTTATGAGATAGATCAATAAATAATTTTTTTAGCGCGTTGTAAATTGTATCATTTTGAACTAATCAGAAGATACCTAGTAATTAAGAAATGTAATTTTGTGCTTATAATCGAGCTGTAATTATAAAAAAAAAAATACGGAAGACTACTAAAACCAGAATATAATTAAGTTGCGTTATTTGAGTTAAGCATTGTTCTCCAGCTGTTAAGGCCTTTACTTTTTGCGAAACACGTGTGGAGAAGTTAATTTGATTTTCAATTTCAACTGAAGAATGTTACCTACAAGTATCAGTATCATCTTTATGAAATTTATATGATCTTATTTTTTATATTAATCTCAGTTACGACATTTTTCCATAAATGAAATATCAAAATTAATAATAAAATGAATGCAAATACAAATAACACAGTAAAATGTAATAAATGAAATATAAAATTATAGTATTTTATGTACAATTCTGATAAAAATTTCATAAGAAGGTACCTATAAATTAATTAGATACCTTATGAAATTTAATCTCATTCTCAACAGTCTTATTTTAATTTCTTTATAATATATTTTCCATAAAGCATCGTAAAGGTGAAAGTTAAGTACAAAAAAAAAAAAGTTAGACCGCTGAAAGTTTTCGTTAAAAATAACGGGGTAAATAATTTGTTCACGTAAATGTAAATTATTTCACATTTCTCCTTCCGTAGAACAAATAATTATCCTCACGGAATCCGTCAATATGTCATTCATCACCTGTCAAGTGACGCGAAAGTTTATGACCTGCTTTGTTTTATTTTCAAATTACATCTTTTCGGCGCAGAAGCTAAGTTAAGATAATCCGTCTTCTGTATGCGACTCCTGGTGTGCTGGTGGAAGTGAACGGGGTAAGATCGGAACCTTTCGTATTGTCTCGATCTATTCGTCAGTGTTGTCCGCTTTTGCCTATGCTTTACGTTCTTGCGTTGGAACCTTTCCTTCGCAAGTTAAAAGCGAATCCTGTCCTACGCGGAATTTCCCTACCTGGTGCTACCACCTCGGCCAGGTATTCTGCCTATGCTGACGACGTTTCGGTTCTTGTGTCGAGCAGAGCCGAGATTAACGAAGTCAGCAAAGAAATCAGTGGTTATGAGATGGTGACAGGGGCCAAGATCAACCGCGATAAGTCTGTTGGCTTGCGGTTGGGTGCGTGGAAGGGAGTTTCTCTTCCCGGACCTTTCCACTGGACGGATGGACGGGTCAAGATACTCTGCGTCCGGTTCGGTCCTGATCTCCAGTTGGGAATGAATTGGTCGGAGGTACAAGGGAAGGCCGAGATCGCAATTAATTTGTGGTCTCTGAGAAATCTTTCCTTAAAGGTGAGGGCGGAGGTATGTGTTTCACATATCTACCCGATTCTCCTTTACCGACTCTCTGTACTTCCACTTCCGTCTGACACTTTGCTGGCTTTAGTGAAGCTCTTGTTCTCCTTCTTGTGGGGAGACAAGGCTGCCAGAGTCTCTCGGGAGATCTGTTGCCTTCATCCATCTGAAGGCGATCTAGGTATGCCTAGCATCGAGATTCGTCTATATGCTTCGCATCGGGTTCCTAGATCGTTTGTGTCGCGGACCGAATGAGGAGGGCGCCTTCTGGAAGGAAGATGCCCGTCGAAATTTCGCATCCTTGAGAAGTGTGCACTCGTGCGAGGAGGAGGCCCGCCGTTTACCCCGAGCCGAGTGCTCCTTCTATCGTGAATGTCGTCTTGCTCTGAAACACCTCTTACGGGCGTTGGATGGCCTGTCCAACGTCCAGGCGTTGTCTCGTAGGGCATTATATCAATTGTTAGTTAGTGGGGCCGTTTATGATGATCTAATTGACGATCTCGGACTTACGAAGCAGGAAGCTCGCTCGATCTGGCCTTGGGCTCCCGGGTTGAAATGTCTCAATAACGATGAGGCATCCCTCACCTGGCTGGTGATGCGTGGGGACTTCTGGGTTGCCAAAAAGCTTTGCGCAGCGGGTTTGGAGAAATATCAAACTGCCGACGTTTAGTGGGGAAGTCGAGACCCTAGGTCGTCTTCTTTCATTGCAAGTTGGTAGCTCCGTTGTGTAAAGTTTGTTGAAGGCCTCATAGTTCGCATGATGCAGGGAAGTTCTTTGTCCTTGAGGCCTCTTCTGTTTTGTAACAATGTGGCACCGCTGTTGACGAAGGCTGAACTTTGTGTCCTGCTTGCTGGGTGTTATGAGAGTCGTGATTTGGTCGACACGTCAGAAGAGATTCTATGGCGGTGAGAAGTTCACCTTTTTCCCAACTGATCTTGTGCTTTAGGCATCTGCTTAAAGTCAAGATTAGGACAGAAAAGCAGCTCATCATCAGAATTTGGCAAAAGGTGGGTAAATCTTGCGCGAATGTGTAGAGTGAAAGGGCTGACCTGGAGTGGCACTTGGATGTCAGTTAGGTACAGGATTTTGTCCTAACAGGGTTGAACAGAGGCAACCCACCCCAATATTAGGCTAGTTTAGGTTTTTTTATTTTGAATCTTTAGTTTCTCGTTTTCTGGTTAACTTAAATGCTTATGTTTTTATTAAGAGGAAAGATCAAAGTTTTTTAATTATTTTTAAAATTTTTCCTTCTTTTTAGAACATTCTAAATTTTGATTTTAAAAAAAAAACCCCAAAAAACTTGTTTCTTTTTGTATCACCGGAACTAGTAAAATAACAAACAATTTTTAGCACTTTAATTTATTTATTTTTTTTAATTTTTTTTATTTTTTTTTTTTTTTGGCATGACACATTAATTTGGAAAGTCTTGCAAAAATAAAAATAATTGTCGGATGTTAATGAAACTTTCAGAAACTATTCACAGATGATCGAAATTATTATAAATATTTTTTTTATATTAAAGTCATGGCAGAAATATTTTTTATATTTATTACTCCCCCCTAACTAATTTTATGAAAACTCTAGAAATTCGATTGTCCAGTTTAATGATCACAATAGTTAAAAGCACAAGGCTTTGAGGAATGCAAATCATTGTTTTTTTTAATTGGACACCCCTACCTGAAAATCAGCTCTGAATTGTAATACAAAACTCAATAAAACAAAGATATTTAATTTTAAATGCTTTTATTTGCTTTTATGACTATGGATAATAATCGGGTTGCAATTATAAAGTACGGAAGACCAACCAGAATACAATTAAGTTGCGTTATTTGAGTTAAGCATTGTTCTCCGCTAGGTACCTCCACGAGATCGCTAAAAAAAGAGCATAATGATGAAAAAGACGCCAAACTTTTATCGTCTAAATGTTTATTATTAAAAGGAAAGATCAAAGTATTTTGGGGGTATTTTTTTTTTTTTTTTTTTTACATTTTTTAATCGTTCCTAACACGTCAGAAATTTTCGTTAAATATCTTGTTTTTTTTTTGTTTTGTTTTTTTTTCATTCAGCAAAATTGACCATTTTTTTTTTCCATTTTATAAAAAACTGGAAATCTCACTTTGAAATTCTTTTAAAACTTTGGCGTCTTTTTCATCATGCTATGCTCTTTTGTTAGCGATCTCATGGAGGTACCTAATTTAATGGAAACGGTTACTACAATTAAGCGACCCCCAGTATTTTAAAAAGAATTTAGATTTTTTTTTTTTTGTCTTTGTATAAACGTGCCGATTTATTTAAATGCTGACTTTCATACACGACCTTTATCAGAAAATACGAGCGCTAACTATTTAAATTTAAAGCCAAAGTACCTAAAATTCAATAAAACAGATTACGGAGTATATTTTTGTAAATTTTTAACATTACTGTGTAGTTAAAAATTATTAAAAAAAAAAAAAAGGCGCATACATTTTCAAGTAAATTTTACTGATATGTCCACCGTAGAAAAAAATTTAATTCTCGGATGCTGATAAAGCATTCACCACCGTACGAACGCCGACAACCGTGTTTAAAAAAAATTCATTATTACGATATTTTAAACTAAAAGTAAGTATTTGTTTCAAATCAGAATAATTAACATTTAAATTAGTTAATACTTTTCAAATAAAACTTCAGAAAAATAAATTTTTTCAAGATTCTTTTTTTAAAAAAAATGACAATTACATTGTACTGACTGTGGTTAAAAATGGGTAAAATTCGCGGCCTTTTTTTTTTTTTTTTTTTTTTTTTTTTAGTGATTACAAAACAACCTACACCCAGTCAATTTAAATTAGTTCTGAAATACAGCAAAGTACTTTGCTTATTGAAAATATTAATGTAATCTATTAGCTTGAAATAAGATTCAAGAAAGAGTTTCTTTAGAGGTACATACATACATATATCATATATATATATATATATATATATATATATATATAATTCACACAAATATTCAAGAAAAATGTTCTGTTTATAATAAAAAATATTAACATTTACCGTCTCAATGTCGAGAAATTTCAGAGAAAATATGTGGAACCTCCGACAGGAATCGAACCTGTATCCTACACGGAACCGTCATATAGCCTGACGTGCTATACCAGTTTAGCTATAGAGGAGCGTCTGAACTGGTATCGCAAACGTTTGAAAAAATGACGGTGGTTCCCGACGATACTCAGGTTCGATCCCCGTCGGAGGATTGGCTATTTAAAGTGAAAATCTTCGGCATTCAAACCAGTAAATGTTATTAATACTATTTATTATAAACACATCATTTACTTAAATAGTTGTCTATATAAATAACATTATAGCAATAAAATATATTAAAATAATTGTCGGATTTTGGCCCATATATATATATAAAAGGCAGGATATCTGTGTAACAAATGCACGGCCGCAATTTTCGACGGATTTGCACCAAAATTTCCATGCACATGCCCCAAGTTAGTGGAAAGGCCAAGACCGACGTTGCATTTCCCAACTCCCATCGATAGTGGAAATAATCGATTTTTTCATGCTTCTACGGCAGTTTTCACGTAGTTTGCGCCCATTTTGTACTGGCCAGAGTAATATCCTATAGCTGGCTCCCACGAATAGGCAGAAAGATACTATTGGCCAGCGTGAGAGCCAACAGCTGACTGACATGAATGTTAGCTGCATTCGTCACAAGTGGGGAAAAATTTAAATCTGCATGGCATTTTACTCCAATTGGCTCATTCGCTTACTTAAACTCAACGTTGATTCTGATTCCGCAGAACTGGGTTGGGTGTGAAAAGGTATTTAACATTCTTTTTTCATTCGGTTACGAGTCCTTTTTTAAAGCTGATAATTTGTGTTCATTTGTTTAGTTCTTTTTTTTCGTAACCAATTTAATGTTTAGTATAAAGCTTAGAAAAATTCGCAGTGTGAGATAGGCATTGATTTTAAGGCATGTGACAACATCAGCATGGCAAAGGCATTCCTTTTCTGGGAAAGGAAGGGCAAAAATATTTTAAAGTCAGTGATAGTGATTGTTGTACAGTCGTACGATTTTTGAACCAAGCACGTGCAACGCCGAGCCATGCTGCCAGTATATATTAAATTATATATATATATATATATATATATATATATATATATATATATATATATATATATATATATATATATATATATATATATAAAATAATATATATAAACAGGTTTGTTTAAATAGTTTAGACGTATTGATACCAAAAGGTTTCTATCAAATAATTGTTATTTTCCCAAGTATTTACAATCTCAACTATCTTCAGCCAGTTATAGCTAGAATTCATTAGATTATGGTATAGTAGCTTGATATCTTTAGAGTTAGTTTAAGGACTTATGTTCATTTTTATTTATGACGAGCTATTGGGCATATAAACATAAACAAGCTAATATACTCGGTGTTATTTTTAGTGCATAGCCGTATTCGAAAATCAAGGCCGATTTTTATTTTAAACAGTATTTCTTACACATATCGGCCTACTCGCTATAAAAAAAAAAATCTTGAAGATAAATATGCTCTTTGGCAGAGTTTGATCCTGCGCGCTGCTTTGGAGAAGAAGCCACTGTTTGACCCGACGAGCTTTAGACTGCTTGGCCACAGAGTGCCAACGGCCCAGCAAGGTTCTATTTCTTAATAGACTTATTTTTGAGCCACCATTTTTATTACAGAAATCTTATAAACATAAAAAATGCAGTTTTCAGCCAGTATGACCTTAGCACAATGTAATGTGTTGTTTTCAGTCATATTTATTGAATTCTGAGATGACCATTTTGATAATCGTAAAATCAATTGTGTTTTATCGTTGGATTTCGCCACGCAAGTAAATCTGGCATTAATTAATTCAGTTTCTGAAGACATTAAGGCTAATTTAAAGCGAGAATTTTGGCGGCTGTTTTCGTACTGCTTTAAGCGTGTCCCAGCGTTCAGTGTCTGCTTTAAGCGTGTCCCAGCGTTCAGTGTCTGCTTTAAGCGTGTCCCAGCGTTCAGTGTCTGCTTTAAGCGTGTCCCAGCGTTCAGTGTCTGCTTTAAGCGTGTCCCAGCGTTCAGTGTCTGCTTTAAGCGTGTCCCAGCGTTCAGTGTCTGCTTTAAGCGTGTCCCAGCGTTCAGTGTCTGCTTTAAGCGTGTCCCAGCGTTCAGTGTCTGCTTTAAGCGTGTCCCAGCGTTCAGTGTCTGCTTTAAGCGTGTCCCAGCGTTCAGTGTCTGCTTTAAAGCGTGTCCCAGCGTTCAGTGTCTGCTTTAAGCGTGTCCCAGCGTTCAGTGTCTGCTTTAAGCGTGTCCCAGCGTTCAGTGTCTGCTTTAAGCGTGTCCCAGCGTTCAGTGTCTGCTTTAAGCGTGTCCCAGCGTTCAGTGTCTGCTTTAAGCGTGTCCCAGCGTTCAGTGTCTGCTTTAAGCGTGTCCCAGCGTTCAGTGTCTGCTTTAAGCGTGTCCCAGCGTTCAGTGTCTGCTTTAAGCGTGTCCCAGCGTTCAGTGTCTGCTTTAAGCGTGTCCCAGCGTTCAGTGTCTGCTTTAAGCGTGTCCCAGCGTTCAGTGTCTGCTTTAAGCGTGTCCCAGCGTTCAGTGTCTGCTTTAAGCGTGTCCCAGCGTTCAGTGTCTGCTTTAAGCGTGTCCCAGCGTTCAGTGTCTGCTTTAAGCGTGTCCCAGCGTTCAGTGTCTGCTTTAAGCGTGTCCCAGCGTTCAGTGTCTGCTTTGAGCGTGTCCCAGCGTTCAGTGTCTGCTTTAAGCGTGTCCCAGCGTTCAGTGTCTGCTTTGAGCGTGTCCCAGCGTTCAGTGTCTGCTTTGGGACTGTCCTACCACCATATTTGTATCCTACATTAAGGCATTGTCCCGACATTTTTCTCGATATGTTAAGACATTCAGAATGTTTTTTATTTAAATGATTCAAATAAACTGTTTTATGAGTGGATAATTTTTTCCCTTTTGCCTTCCTCAAGGGATTTATATCGGTCATTATAAGTATCTCCACTCCCACAAAAAATGAAATTCTTTATAAATGTCTTTTAAATAACAACTGTAGCGTTAATTTTCTTTGGACGTGCTAAATAAATATTTTCAAATTTTTTCTTAATTTCTAGCACTATTCCAGAATTCAGGTTAACTAAAGGAATGCAGGCCACTCGCTGGGAACCTTTGAATCTATATTGCTAACCCTACGGAAAAGATCTCAGTGAGATGTGTGTATTCCTTAAGTAGGTAACTGATCCTTGCCTTATGACAGTTTCCTGTGGCCTAATTGATGAGGACACACTTCCACTATAGGAGTGGTGTCCCTGATAGAAAAAAAAGAATACAGTTTCGATTCTTGTTGGGAGCCACATTTCTCGTTCTAGGCCATTTGGGAGTTCTCGAAGAAATGGATGGCGGTACAAGGTTAGAATAAATATCAAAGATAAAATTTATTAAGTGCTACAGTCAGTCAATTAAGTTCCATACGCTTGGGCGATCTTTCGATACATTACTGACGAGGCAGATTTCTTCCTGCGGTAGGTTGGCATTTGTGTGGTAGACTGGTTGTCAAGCAAGTCTAAAGAACTCAGCTTGTCCTGCTATTCAACCCATAACTGAGAGGAGAAGAAACCGCTTCATGCCTTTCTCAAGGGTATTTATGCGTAAGTTAATCTAATGAAATCGACTGGAATTCGAACTCTGCTCTCCGACTTCTCGCTCTGAGCCGATATCGATTACACCACAATAAGGGAATGAAATTGTGGAGAGTCATGATCGTGTACGTCCTGAAGAGAATCGGAGCATAAAGAATAATAAAATGTGTGTGTGTGTGTGTGTGTGTGTGGAATTATGCTTAGTCTTGGAGACAATTTCGATAATAAGTTCAATTTTATTTCCCTTCCCATTACGATGGCCTTGTCCCAGACTAAAGTTGGTGCCTAGTTATTGGGCTACCTCGACACGTAGCTTTCGATTAGCAAGTGAATGTTTCTTAGGTCGCCCACCTTCTCAGACTCCGACAAAGACGACTTTGATAAAAACGTCACAAACCGAAGAACGTACAAATTATCTTTATAGTGTTCACCTGTATAGTTGATTTCAGTTGAACAAAGTGAATCGATAATTAGCTTCGGGGTGTGAGTCTTCTTTCTCTTCCTCCTCCACATAGTCGTTTCGATGTCGCTGGGATCAAAGGGACCGCACCAGGCAACAAACACCTGTTGTCCACCAAAGCCGAAAGGAAAGCATCTCTGTTGCATAAAATGGAATGGACGCGTAAAGACACCTGAGATGAAGCACGAAAATGTTGCAACTTAGACTTTTCATCGGGACGTGACAGAAGACACCTGGTAAGGAGCAAAATCACCACACAAGCGAATCGTTGCTTGCTAACCAAATTCTACAACAGTCGCCAAACATTCAGAAAATTTAAGATGACTACTTGGCGTAAAGAAGTAAGAGAAATAATACGAAAGAAAGACTAGTCAAAAATTAATGATAATGACAAGGCTTCATCTAATAAATTCACACTACTACTACTACTACTACTACTAGGTGTAAAGAAGCAAGAGAAATGAAAGAAAGAAGTCAAAAATTAATAATAATGACAAGGCTTCATCTAAGGGATTTACACTACTACTACTACTACTACTACTACTACTACTACTAGGTGTAAAGAAGCAAAGGAGATAAGATGGAAAAAAAAACTAGTCACAAATTAATAATAATGACAAGCCTTCATCAAAGAAATTCACAGAACTTAATACTACTACTACTAGGTGTAAAGAGGCAATAGAAATAAGATGAAAGAAAGACGAGTCAAAAATTAATAATAATGACAATGCTTCATCTAAGGAATCCACACAACTTTACTACTAGGTGTAAAGAAGCAAGAGAAATAAGATGAAAGAAAGACTAGTCAAAAATTAATGTCAATGTTTCATCTAAGAAATTCACACAACATTAATAATACTACTACTACTAGTCAAAATTAATGATAAGGATAAGGCTTCATCTAAGAAATTCACACAACATTAATACTACTACTACTGCTGCTTGTCAAAAATTAATAATAAGGCTTCATCTAAGAAATTCACACAACATTACTACTACTACTATTACTGCTTTGGTTTTTGGGGGGTTATCTCAGGACGCACTTGTAGATTAACTAAAAATTTTTGTTTTGTTTTTTTGTTTTTGGGGTTTTTTTTTGGTTTTGTTTTGGTTTTGGGGTTTTTTTTTTGGTTTTGGGGTTGTTTTTTTTGTTTTTGGTTTTTTTTTTTTGTACATTTCGTACAATAAATATCACTTTTCTCTTCGGTAGCTAGACTTTATGAATTTAAGTTCAATACTAGATTGGCACAAAGTCTCATCAATTTACAGTTGATTTGGTGTGATGTAACCCTAAGTTCTATGCTAATAGTTTCGTTTCTCGCACTTTCTCCTGTCTTCAGTCATTCGGGTTAACTCTGATCTTTAGAAATTTAAATGCAATGTCAATCTTTTTCTTGTCTCTTCGTTCTCTTTGTTGTCTCTCTTTGCTGTCTCTCTCTGCCACTGTGAACGCGGCATGGCGTGTCGGATCCGGTGGATCTAACGAATGTAGCTCGTTTGAACATTTGCCACAATAATGACGCTAGAGTAAAGGCAAGAAACATTTCGTCCGTCAGTTAAGAGTTGCAAGATGGACAGTAATTCATCACCCACAAGGTCACGTAGTCGTTTTTCAATTCACTCGAGGCTGGACAGTGAGGATTAGGCATCACCAAGCCATACATGGAAGCAATACTCGATCTATTTGATCTGAGTTTATAAACCTAGAGCGTAGCAACAGGTCTTTTTCTTTTTCTCTCTTTTTCTTTTTCTCTCTTTTTCTTTTTCTCTCTTTTCTCTCTCTCTCTCTCTTTTTCTCTCTCTTGATTTTTTCTCTCTCTCTTTCTCTCTTTTTCTCTCTCTCGTTTTCTCTCTCTCTCTGTTTCTCTCTTTCTCTCTCATTTTTTCTCTCTCTCTCTCATTTCTCTCTCTCTCTCTCTCTCTCTCTCTCTCGTTTCTCTCTCTCTCTCATTCTTTTCTCTCTCTCTCTCTCGTTTTTTCTCTCTCTCTCATTTTCTCTACACTCTCTCTCTCTCCTCTGTCGTTTTCTCTCTCTCTCTCACTCTGTCGTTTTCTCTCTCTCTCACTCTGTAATTTTCTCTCTCTCTCTCTCACTCTGAATATTTTTGAAAACTCTGTTTTTCTCTCTACTCTGTCGTTTTCTCTCTCTCTTCGTTTTCTCTCTCTCTGTCGTTTTCTCTCTCCTCTTGTCGTTTCTCTCTCCTCTGTCATTCGAGTTTCACTCTCTGTTTCTCTCTCTCTCTCTCGTTTTTCCTCTCTCTCTCTCTCGTTTTCTTCTCTCTCTCATTTTCTCTCTCTCTCTCTCGTTTTCTCTCTCTCTGTCATTGCTCTCTCTCTCTGCTATTTTCTCTCTCTCGGTCGCCTGTCGTTTTCTCTCTCTCTCTCTCACTCTGTCGTTTTTTCTCTCTCTCTCTGTCGTTTTCTCTCTCTCTCTCTCACTCTGTCGTTTCTCTCTCTCTCTGTCGTTTTCTCTCTGCCTCTCTCACTCTGTCATTTCTCTCTCTCTCTGTAATTTTCTCTCTCTCTCTCTCATATCTGTCGTTTTCTCTCTCTCTGTCATTTTTTCTCTCTCTCTCACGGCCATATTTCTTTTTCTCTCTTACTTTGTCGTTTTCTCTCACTCTCTCTCTCTCACTCTGTCGTTTCTCTCTCTCTCTCACTCTGTCGTTTTCTCTCTCTCTCTCACTCTGTCGTTGTTTTCTCTCTCTCTCACTCTGTCGTTTTCTCTCTCACTCTGTCGTTTTCTCTCTCTCTCTCTCGTTTTCTCTCTCTCTCTGTCGTTTTCTCTCTCACTCTGTCGTTTTCTCTCTCTGTCGTCGTTCTCTCTCTCGTTTTTCTCTCTCTCTCTCTCAAAAAAAAATTTTCTTCTCTCTCTCTGTCGTTTTCTCTCTCTCTCTGAAATTTTCTCTCTCTCTCTCACTCTGTCGTTTTCTCTCTCTCTCTGTCATTTTCTCTCTCTCTAACTCTGTCGTTTTTCTCTCTCTCTGTCGTTTTTCTCTCTCTCTCTCTCACTCTGTCGTTTCTCTCTGCCTCTGAAACTTTTTTTCTCTCTCTCTCTGTCGTTTTCTCTCTCTCTCTGTCGTTTTCTCTCTCTCTCTGTCGTTTTCTCTCTCTCTGTCGTTTCTCTCTCTCTCTCTCTCTGTCGTTTTCTCTCTCTCTGGTCGTTTTCTCTCTCTGTCATTTTCTCTCTCTCTCTCTGTCGTTATTCTCTCTCTGTCGTTTTTTCTCTCTCTCTCTGTCGTTTTCTCTCTCTCTCTCACTCCTGTCGTTCTGTCGTTTTTCTCTCACTCTGTAATTTTCTCTCTCACTCTGTCGTTTTCTCTCTCTCTCTCTCACTCTGTCGTTTTTTCTCTCACTCTGTCGTTTCTCTCTCCCTCTGTCGTTTCTCTCTCTCTCTCACTCTGTCGTTTTCTCTCTCTCTCTCTCTCACTCTGTCGTTTTCTCTCTCTCTCTCTCTCTCACTCTGTCGTTTTCTCTCTCTCTCTCTCACTCTGTCGTTTTCTTCTCTCTCACTCTGTCGTTTTCTCTCTCTCTCTCTCACTCTGTCGTTTTCTCTCTCTCAAGTCAATAGTTCAAATGTATCTTGATCCATATACGGTGTCTAATTTTCTCCCTGTTTCTGAAGAGATACACATGTTTATTTTCAGATATTAAATACGCGTCCTCATATTTTTTACATGCCAGAAAAAATGAAAAATTTTTTCTTCCAATTGGATATCACAAGAAGATAATTATTACAAAAAAATAGCACAAATCAAAACTAAACAAAATATGTTGACAGAAAATAAAGGAAAACTACGTCTATGATGTTTACTTTGCCCTCGAGCGGGCGAAAATGATCTCTTGATGATTTAAGAGAAACTAGAAAAAATAATCGTGTTTAAAAGTAAAGAATACGAATTTTGACATTCGTACAACATGCGGGGCAGTGAATCCCAGCAAAGACTTCAGAATAAAAACGGTTTTAGTTTACAATTTAAGTTGTAAAACGCGAAGAAGAAAAAAAAAGCGGGAACAAAATAAACGAAGCGGACGTCTTCCAAGTCGTATGATATGGATAAAATACTTGAGATAAGAAAAACAAATGAATAAGAAGCTGGCGTGTTCATAGATTTACGACAACGGAAACAAAATGGTGAGGACTGCGGATCGATTAAAGACTCCATTCCTTATGCTAACCTGTTGCTATACTATCGAGTAGTAACCGTTTCCGCTTGTAAGATAACTTTTAGAATAATTTGGTGACTGGGATGTCAGGCCATTTCGTTAATTTATTTAACTTCGAGACGTTTTCGTCCTGACAACGTGCATCAGTCCCAAATATAACCCACTTTTTTAATAAGAGCAACACATTTAATTTTCTTTCGTATTAGATAAAGTGAACACTTCTAACACGTTTCTTGTGTTGTTGTAACATTTTTATCTGTCTAAAATAGTATATTTTGACGAAGTGCACATCACAATGTCCACGTGACTTAATTTAGGCCCTCGTTAGCCAGCCTTCTCTTCACATGACAAAAGCATACAAAAAGTATTTCTCTTATGTGGCATGGTAGAAGAACTGGCGAAAGGCTTGGCAAAAGAAATGCAGCTAAAGTCCAGAAGGTATAGGAAGTTGTGGAGAACCATGATCAACCTCGTCATGAAGGAAAGATCCATTCACATAAGCTCGTCAGTTAAGTGACCCGCTGTCATCCCATATCTCTTTTTCCCTTTGGCCACCTCGACTTGGTGCAATGATTAACAAGTGTGACTCGTTCAATCCTCACTGGTTTCCCCATGCTTTCGGCCTTGTGTCACATCTAAGTTACGCTTAGAAAAAAATCAATATATCTCTCTTGCCCTCAATAAGCCCTTTGAGAATTAAGTTTTAATTTCTCAAATTACATTTACTCCTGTGGCAGTGGAGACTTCTGGGGTTATTGGCCCTCGTTCGATGGCGTTCCTTCGGAGGATTGGCGCGATTGCGTCTCGATGAAGTGACGAGCCTCGTGAAACGGAGTGGCTCTTGCAGCGTGTCTCACTGGCGATGGTTCGAGGTAATGCTTTCTCCATCATTGCGGCTGGCAGAGGATAGCAAAAAAAAAATATTAATATTTAATTTCCCTACTGAAGTCGAACCTAACAAAATACACAATGACGTCATCTTATTTAAATTATTAGTTGTTATTCTTCGATTTTCATTGGTTTCACTCTTCGCCACAGTAATTATAATGTCTGTTTATCAATTTCAACTGTTTTATTTTTAAAATCATTGTCTTCCCCCATGACGGTAAATGGTTGCCAATCACATATTTTTTTAATTTCTCAAATTGGGTGCCAGTTTTTCCAAGCCTTTTTTTCGCATTGTTCTTTTTGTCCACATTTTCCTTAGAACTTCCTCGTTAGTCACATGTTCAGTCCATGGTATTCTCAGCATCTTTCCGTAGGTCCACATCATTGTTACGTCGTCTCCTCTCCATCTGTAAGGAAATTGTTCAACACTCTTTTTGCTTGATTCTTATGAAGTTTTCCTGTTTAATACTTTTAGTTTTTGGATTGATTGTTGTTTATGGTTTATCAACCTTCTGCAGATTATTTAAAACCAAAATATACTTTTGTAGTGTAAGATTTTTTTTTCTTTCTTTTTTTTTTTCGAATGAATATTGTATTAACAATATTCTGGAGATAATACTGATGATTTTCAGTTACAAATCCTATTTAATCCATAGGGGAGAATAATTGGATTCATACCTTTTCCAATGACAATTGCGTGTAAGTGAATATAACGAACCCGACTAGAATTCGAACTCGGCTCTCCGATTTCTCATTCAGAGTTGTTATCCACTGTATCATCCGCATATCCAAGCTTACATCACCTGATAGGAAAACATATTGGGTATTAACTGGTTTTGATCCTCACTAAACAAAACTTGATCGAGCATAATAAAAATAAATACCGACTATAAAATGCAAACACTAATACATTGTGTTAGTAATATATATATATATATATATATATATATATATATATATATAGAGGTCGAATTAAGTCTTTTCATACAAAAGGCTGGCTAGACTTAATTAAAGTTGTCTCAAGTACGTTGACAGTGTGTTAGATATACAGCGTAACCCGGATATAAGAGTTGTCGGGACCGGAGAAGTCTCTTATATCCGGGTTTGGTCTATTTTCTTTAGGTAAGTATGGGCTCTAATTTGGGTCCCGAGAAAAATCTCTCTTATATCCGGGTTACACTGTAACTGAAAATATATCTGTGAAATGACAATATGAATAAAAGGAAAACTTCTCTTAGCCGCAGCGTTTCGTCCTCTGATGGACTTTACCAAGACAAATGTAAGGATTTTATTTTACAAGTATTTATAAACAGAAGTAAAAATGTCATTAGTCTTTCAGAATTTTTTTTTTATTTTAAGTACACTCATAAATATTCATCAGACTAACTGAAAGTCAAGGTAAATTATGGAGGATGCTAAGTGATATAATTTAATGTCAAATAAACGAAAGTTAGTAAATTTTTTAAGTAATTTTTTATAGTAATTTATGTTGGCTTAGGAAAGAGGTATTTCTTTTATAAAAGGAGATATTTGAAAAACTCCAGGTAGTAGACTTATATTTGATAAGATTCGATAGTAGCACTTTTTAGATTTTTTTTGTCTAAGTTACGTCTCCTTTTAAATAAGTGTGGCATTCTTTAAATCAAAATTGTCGGACTTATTTCTACGTACGACGAATGCTTTTGATAAATTGTTGTGTATAAGATCCTTTTGTGTTCATAGATTTTTATTTTTGCAAGTTTACCCAGTGTATTCTAAGAAAGTAGTTGTGACATATATATATAAGTTTGACGTTATCACCAAGACAATTGAAATTCTATACCAATCACTATCCCAACTTGCTACGCGTGGAGACATAGCAGTTCACCCAGGCCTAAGCTGAAAATCGAATCATCCTTTATAATGGCTAAAGGTATAGACGAAAGCGCTCGGAAATATAAAACATTTAGACAGTTCTTACACACCCTTTGTCCAGAAAAGAAAGCTCTTGTCAGAACACAAGAAAAATTAAATAAAAAGCTTAACCGTAGTACCTTGTCTGTCGTTTTTAATGTAACATGCATAAAGGAAGGATTGCTGCCTAAATATGCAACTAATATATATATGTGCTTCAGAATTATTAATGTTATGCATATTTTTGATTCTGATCATATCCACAATAATTTGGAATGTGGTTTTAATTATTTTAAGATTGGATAAATTGTTTTGGACAGATGTTAGAGAGTTAGTAGGTAGTATTATATGTCCGTTTTTATCTAGTTTAATGTCATTATCTTTTTGTGGTTGTATATTTTGTATGCCTTTCTTTTGAAGTTGTGGATGAAATAATGAGGATATTGGAGGTTTTTTAAGTCTTTTCTGTGTATATTTCTTCTTCGGGTATATATTGGAGTCTGCAGATTCTTGGTGATCTTACATAGAATCCTATAATTATTCCAGTTTTATTCTGTTACAGTGGTAAGAATAGAAATTTATGAGGCCATTCTTGTTGATATTTTCTGTAAATATCCACCTGAAGATCATTATTACTCCTATGCAACATGATATCTAGAAAGTGTAAAATACTGTTAGTCTCAGATTCAAAGGTAAAATATATTGCCGGTTCGACGCTAAGTTTAACAAGATTGGGTAAAATTGCCATGTGGATATATTAATAGAGGATCATCAATGTATCTAAAATAAGAATTCTGTAGTAAAATATTTTTGAAAGGAACATTTTAAAGAAACTATAAAAATGGACAAGGTAAAACAACGCTAAGAGGTGAACACATCGGTAAACAAAATTTTTGTCTGTACCTTTTTTTATCGAAGGTGAAAAGACTTTGATTAGTGATTATTTGACACATTTTTATGATTTTATATGTTGAAGAGGTTTATATATATATATATATATATATATATATATATATATATGGGGGGGTAATAAAATTATACTCAAGCATTAATGTTTCATTTAACCGTATTCTATTGAATAGAATTAA